ATTGTTTAATAAACATTTTTAACTCTATACTGTTTCTAACACTATGTACACAATTATCTACATAAAAAGCATTTAATAGTACTTTGGCGGTTTCTTTAAATTCATTATCACTTTCAATCAATTTTTCTAAATGTAAATTTATGGTTGCGGCTAAAATAAAAGGACTAGGTTTAAGACCAAAAACAACTCTACAGTGCCTATATATTTTAATAATTCTTTCAGAGTAATTTTGCCACCACAAAAATCGCAAATAATCTCTATCTTTATCTATTATACTTATTTGCAAAAATGCCTTTGTAATATCCGCTGTAAGCCCAATTTTATGGATTCTAAATTTTATTATAAGCGGAATTGTTAACTCTATCAAATTTGGACCTTTTTGTAACAAATCATTTAATGAGTTACCATTTTTGTCCTTTGCTGAACCATCAAATACCGGTCGAATCTTGGTTGTATTACTTGACTCCTTAATCACTGCTTGGTGAGCCAAATAGTGCACATTTTCATTAACATTTTCTTCTGATACTTCTTCAATTATTCCTAGTTTTTCCCATTCTTCAAACACTTTACCGTAATCTGTAAACTTTTTAAGTGTAATTAATCTTCTAGTGTTTGAAAATAACCGTTTTTCAGCTAAATTATAATTGGAACATATATTCGGACAACCCTGTATCCATGGTAAATAAATTTCATACCGATTTTCATTGTTTAATACAGTAGTATTCCTAAAATAATTTAATGTTTCTACCTCTAGTAGTTCTTTATTCTTAGATTCGGCAGATTCTTTTATACCTAGTACATCTAGGTTCCAAAGATCAGTAATAGAACAACCCGTAAAGTACGAAGCAATACATTTATTTTGATTAATGCAATATTGTTGTCCCATTACCGTCCAACCCAATTTTGTTTCTACCGCAAAAAGATTATCATCTATGTTCTCGATATTACCTGTTAGCAGTTTTCCAATATTATCAGCACCTATTAATAAACTTATTTCACAATCATTATTACTTGTGTCACTTAAAATTATATCTTTATTTTTCAAATACTCAATTATTTTTATATCATTTAGCTTTGGAATGTAGTTACATATTCTCTGTTGTTCCAATACTGAAACATTTATGCTAAAAGATTTATCTAACTTATAAATATTTGCACTAAATAATTGACACATTTTGGATTCGCCTTGAGCTCCACCAAACACACCTTGTACAATATTTTCCTCTCCTAATTTTAACAAATTCATTTCTTCTGCACATTTTTTTGTTACATAAGACCTTTGAGAACCTGAATCTAATAATATTCTAACAATTTTACATTTTTTACCTGCATATAGTTTAACCTTTAATGTTTGCAAAAGCGTCTCGGATATAGTAGTTGTTAAGGTGTTTTGAAGTGATTGTACATTTTCATCTGGTTTATCAACAATTCTGTCTTTATTCTCATTTCCTTTCTTTTGCAAGTCAGGACACATAATAGCATGGTGTTTTCTTGCACAAATGATGCATTTCACAACAGATTTACAAGTTCTGAAAGTATGATTCAATTTTAGGCAAGAAAAGCAACCTCTTTTTTTAATTACAGTGGTCCTTTTCTGGTCTAAAGTCATATTTTGTGCTTTTATACAGTCCTGGCTTGCATGTGTTTTATCACAAAATATACAAAATAACTTTTCTTTAAAATTTGTTTTTGTACTTTTAGAATACAATGACTCTACTGTATACTTGCGCTCAGTTTTTTCATTTATAGCATCCTCCCCCTTATTTTGCAAAAATTTAGTTTTGGCAATCTTTGTACGTTCTTCAGCCTCAACCTCTGCTTTTAAAAAATCTAACAATCCCTGCAAATCATTTACATTTTGTTTATTATTAGCTATGCGGTGTCGTTCCCAAATTTTTAATAAATCGCAAGGTAGTGCTGATTCTACAAGAGGGAAAAGCATGGCTGCATACTTATCCCTTGTTACCCCTAATGACTCTAATGCCCTAAGTTGCGTTTCTAATTTATCATATAGGGTGGATAATTCTATCCCAGACATTTCCACTGAAGTTTGTTGATTTAAAACCAAATTTAATAACTCTCTTACGTACACTTCAATTAAAACCTCGTCCCTCGCAAACCTAGCTTTCATTTGATCAATTGCTATATTATAATTAGCTCCTGAAGGTGGAAAACTTTCAATCATATTTCTTACGCTTGAGCCTTCCTCTGTTGCCTGGAGCAGGTACTGAAACTTGTCATCTGTTGATATATATTGGTCCTCATGTATCTTCTTAAATTGACCCCAGAAGTTTATCCAATTTTTGATATTGCCGTCAAATTTCTTCATTTCTAATTTTGGAAGATTAAAATTTCTCATCATTTTTGAACTGGCTCCTTGGTTACCTTTTTCTCCTTCCATATTCTGTATCACGTACTCGCATTCTGCTTTATACTTAATGATATCTTCTCTAAAGGCCTCCTCTTCCATCAGTTCTGTTGTAATGTCTTCCACTGCTACATTCTCCGACACCATGATTTCTTTAATATTATTATCTAAGATGTACACACGTTCAGCTTTATCATCTAATAGTTGCTGTAATCGTTGTGCACTCCTCTTATCTACGCATACATCTTTAATTAATTCATCTATTTCTTTGAATATTTTCTTAAGTCCGTTCTTTAAAATATCCCGCTCTACTTTAAAACTCTGCATTTTATCAGGGATGCCACTAATGTTGATAATAGAACGAGATTTGTAGGCTTTTTTATCTTTTTATTTTATGATTGACAAATATCTTTTTTTATACTGACGTTAAACAAAATTACAGGGGTAACACAAAACATAAAACAATATATTGTAAATTAATAAATATTAAGCATTAACTAAACAAAACTATTCCTAACAATGCTGTTATTTGTTATTCTAGAATAAAATTGTTTTCTAGTTTATAATTTATTCAAATAATTGTGCAAAAAATCATCAAAATTATATAATTACTACATTATTTCAAAAGATTATTCACAATAAAACCAGAAAAGATTATTCACAATAAAACCAGAGCCTACTAGACCATTTTATAAATATTGCTTTCATTTAGAGAATTACAGAAAATCGTTTTTTTTTTTGTAACGGCCGGAAAAACAAAACAAAAAAACCACAAGGGACCAAAAAGTTTCTAATTTTTTTTGTATTTTAGAATCTAAAAAAGTTCAGGGGAAGATAAGGGGGGCATGACTTCTGAAAAAATATCACAACCATTTGACATTCCCATCAATGATGTAAGCCCTACAGCGTAACCTAGATTCCAAATTAGATCAAAATATCTCAAAAACTGCAGGAGTTATAAATAAAGAATAAAAAATCTTGACATTTCAACACCCTGTAGATCGGTGACTAGATTTATAATCATTTTTAGTCATGAAATAAGCCAAAGAATTACCACCTTCCGTATGTTCATGACATCCTATATATCCTATATATATTATTTAATTTTGGGATAAGTCGGAAATTGCTGTGGGACAAATCCAGAGAATACAATGAGCATTTAATTAATTCAAAATCCCAAAAAGTTGTAACTAATAATATAATAAAGCAGGATAAACATACATCTATATATAAATAGGCAAAGACAAAATAGTTCAGTACCATTTTCTTTGCTGTTTGTGAACCGATTTTCTTTTAATTTTTGTTTAGTAGCTATTGACGAGCTTTAAAATAAAAAAATTGGAAATAGTATTTTTTTTCCAACCTTTGATATATGAAATTCATTGATACACAATAATTATTAATTAAGATTGACTAATAAAAATAGCTTATGTCTAACAGACATGCACAATATTACATGGACGGATAGAGGATTGCGAAAAACAAAACAAATTACTTATCTCCCGCCCCTCTAACTTCCCCTCTTCCTCTGTCATGTCTAAATAGTAAGGGATAGAAAAAAATTTCATCCTCCCTACTAATTATCCCCCACCCCATTAGATATCGATATATCGAACAGCTCGACTTAGGAAAAAGAACTTCGGGCAAGATGTATTGAATTTCGTACCCCCCTCCCTTCTATATTAAAAAAAAGGTAAATAATTTTTTTTATTAAACCGTAACGTCGCACACCTTTAGATTCTGGAGATTTTCGATCTACTCCCTACTCCCTCCACCCACGATTTTTTTTTTTTTTTTTCATAATTTGGGTATTTTGAGATATTTTTTGTATAGGTAATTAAAAAATTAGGGTTTTCAAATTGTGAGTTACTGAGATTTTATTGAATTATAATGGTACTGAACTATGTTGTGAGTACATAATTATAAAAGTCGGATATACAGTACATAATTATAAAAGTCTCAGATATACAATGTACAAATGTACCTATTCGCTCAGTGGGAAGTCATGGTAGGGGAAGCAAAAGCGATACTAGCGCTAGCTGCGGATATTTCGTACATTTTAGGGCGATATTTTGTAATTTTGGCGTATCAAATATACGTATATATTTTAATTATTTTTAAAAAAATAGTTAGAAGCAATACAATGAGCAACCGGAGTTACTGTGTTTTAAATTGTAAAAATACTAGTAAAAGGAAACAGTATAAATTTTACAAATTTTTGAGTAGCAAAATGGAAATTAAATCAAAGAATTAAACGTGCCTATACTTGCAGTAAGAAGAGAAAAGTAATTGCAAAACTTAATTGTTGTAACAAGAGTAATACCTATTGAAAATAGTAGACATTAGAAAACTGAAAGGTTTTATATACTTAAATTATTATTATTTTCAGAAAGGATATATTTCTGCCTTTGATTATTATCTGTATCTGAAATGAAATTTTGTGACTGATTAATGATTGGAAAACAGTTATTTAATAATTCTATTAAAAATGATACTGTCAATACACGCAAACGAATAACAATAAAACATGAAAATATGTTTTCCTCAAATTTTCAATAATGATTATGGTCGAATTTCGATCACTGGCCGCGCGAATACTAGTTATTTTAAATATATATATATATATTTTTAGGCGTACAAATCTATTGGAGAGTTCGACGCGCTCCCTGGCTGTGGTACATCCTTTCTTCTGCAACCAAAGTATCGAGTGGAACACTACAAAGAACAGGCTAAGTTTGATCAAGTCATTCAATTCTACGCTAACCAACCGTCTTCATCTAAAGAACTAATAGACAGTTTTAAAAACTACGGATTATATCAGATACCTGTGATGTGTTCCCAATTAGAGGAACCTGAATATGAGTGTCTTTGGAGACTTAGCCATTGGTCATTTGGAGAAAAGAAAGTGTCTTTAAGCGACGATGCAATAAATTACGAGAATTTTGAAAAATTCAGATTTTCTTCCCTCAGAGCGTTAAAAAATAAAAATATTGGATTGTTTGAAGAGTCATCGAATTCTCAATTTATTTGCATTACGAATCATCTTAAAAATATCAGTTTGGAAAGCAGCCACAGTTTGTATCCCGTTTTAACCAAATTACAATCTCTGATAGAGATGGAAGATTTCTCTAACAGTACCAATCCCGAGAAACTTGCTTCGTTGATGGAAAAATGGAAGTTGCAGGATAAGTTAATTAGGAAAAATGATTTTCAATACGTTGAACCGATTATTGCTCAAAGATTGGTTATGTTAACTAATTATTTAAACAGCGGCCCATGCAGCGGAGATACTGTCCGAGATTATATCGTTGATTTGAGTTTGAGTTTTGCAGGTAAAGTATTTTTTAAATATTACTTGTCACAACTGGTGATCAAATAAAATACTCTTTTTATCCATGCCTCAAAATTGGACAAAAATTCAGATTCAAAATTGACTTTTTTTAATTATCATACACGGATATCCCAAAAGGTTTTATACAAATTTCACAAAATTTCATTTACCTTACAAAAAAAAAATAATGTAGAAAATTGAAGAATTTGTTTTAATAAAAATCCGGTAAAAAATGTTGTTAGCCTTCGTGGACTTTTTTACTATATAACTACTCCAAACACAACCAAAAGCACTTCTCTCCTCTTCCATGTCCTCTACAACCATCTATTGAACGTTCATCGACTGGATTCAATTTACATTTCAATTTATTTAATACAATAACAATAGGCCTGAAAGAATAATTTGAATCCCTTTTTTTTATTTATTTTAAGGCTGGGCAAAAGATGAGGATTATTGCAAAGATGGCTTGATGATTTTAGAAAATTTGAAACGTATTAGATCTTTAAGTTCCGATACAAATCATAAAATCGACTTACTTGATGCACAACTATCGTGGTCTCTTAATAATACCGTAGTAGCAAGGCAGATACTAAAGAGGCTATGTAACAATAAGTTATACCTAAGTCCCAAGTAAGTATTTATAAAACTAAATTATTAGATAAATTGTTTATTTTAAAATTGGAATGTAGGACATTACTGATGGCTATTTTTTCTATAAGTCCTAAATTGGCATTTTGTTTCTGCCGAAGAATAAATTATAAAGGAAAGAAAATGTTTTCCGCTGTTTTAGGTTACACGCACTAGCTTTAAAGCTGACAGGCCAGTACATGAGTGAAACGCACTCAGAAAATAGAACCACAATTATTACTGATTACTTCCTAGCTTCGGTCAATATTATGGGTAACTTAGAAAGAAATGAAGACGATATCAAAAGTGTTATGGATACTTACGATAAGTTAGCTTTGTTTGCCGATAAAGAATACCAACAGGTAAATATTTTATCATGAATATAAATTTTGTCTCGACAATCCTATGTGGATTTTGGCCTGCTCCAGAATCCACTGCCATTCATCCATTTATCTTTGTCGATATCCACTTGTCTGCCCAGTAGGGTATCCTTTCGGGATTTTTTGGCATTTTTATTTTGATGTGATACATTATATTTCCATTATGCATGCCGTTTTATAGATTTTTTTTATTAGATTAAGGCGTACATGAAATCGGATTTGTTCCAAAAGAAAATCGCTAATATGGAACAAGCAAAGAAAGCCGCAGCCAGTATTCAGAAGCAAAGAATTAGAACCACTGACGAGAAGAAAGCAGCCGCAATACATGACAGAAATAGTAACATTGACATTGCAGAAATAAGGACTACAAAGCGAGAAAGCAATCAGTTCTTGAAAATAGCCCTAAAGTGAGTATGAAAATATTGTAATAAATCATTTGGGAATTGCTAGCTAAAATAAGAATGGTTGGTATATATTATACGTGTCCCTTTCGGTATAAAAGTGGACTATTATATTTATTTTGACTTATTCTACTCGACTTTGATAGCTTATTTTAATGTTGAGTATACGATACAGTAAACAGTGATGCAATTCACAATGCCCTGATCCTAGCTATAACCCCCCCCCACTCCCGATAAATATCATGCAAAAGCAGTTTTGCCAAGCAATATAAAAATACAGAGTTTGCGTAATTTTTATAAACGGCAAATGAGGCCGAACCAAAGAACAAACAGATATAGTTCAATGTTTTTATATTTATATTCTTTTTTAATTTTTTAATATATTGTACGGTATTTTATTATTACTTATAATAGGATATAATTCATAATACAGTCACTAGGACTAAATGTTTACAACAGCTTAGAAAAATTCTATCCTGTCCCGCTCAAAATCACTGAATAAACGATCGCACCTGATATTGATATTATACAGGGTGAATCCGAAGTTGATACTTTTTTTAACTATGTACAGAAATCATTAAAACAACTTAATCAAATAACTTTTTCAAAAAACTGAAACATAAACTTACATTAATTTATTCCAAAATGTATCCAATACAGTTCTGTCTAACTTAACACGTTAAGCGCCAGGCCTAATATTAAATTAAGAAATGTAGAGGACTGAGAGTCCTATTAACCTAAAGTATGATAATGTACAAAAAAGGTAATTTTTTAAATTAATTAAACATTCTTTTATCGGGGAAAAAGTTTGATAAAACTATTACCAAACGAAAAATTATCATTGTTTTTAATTTTTTGGTGGGAAATTTATTGACAGAGATAATATCGGTGACGCCACCACGTGCCATCTAAATGGTTTTACATACTGTATTGATTGTGAATGTTTTACAGCAAGTCACTACTACTAAAATATTTTTGCTACTTATTTTGACCCACTTTTATGACCTTTTCGTTTATAAAAATGTTTTATTAGTTTGGTAAAAATATAATAATTTTCAGATGTTTTTATTTAATTATATTCTCTGAAATTTGAATTTTCTTGAATAAAATTCAATAAAACATAAAAACACAACCCTTTCAATTTTCCCTGTATTTTACCGATGCTATTATCAAAGTTATATGCCTCAGTAATGGAAAACTTCCGCATGGGCCACAGTGGTCAGATGCAAGTAGCAAAGTAGATATATTGGTGGGCATAGGAACAGGAGAATTTGTTTTCTCAATGGAAACACTCGGTCACCGCTGACCGCCGTAGCCTTATAGGAAATGTCAGTATCGGTTACCAGTGACCGCCGTGGCGCTGAACGTGCTAAATAATGTGTAGATCTTTCGTCGAAAAATGCTGTTATAAGAACTATTCACAAAACGGAACTCTGCAGGGGGAAATTTTTAAGTTGTACTGCTTGAACACGTTGAACGTAAAAAAGGAAAGAATTGATTTTCGCACAATGTTTTCCACACTTGTCTTTGATTTACTCCCACCTGATCTGCAATCACCCGCGTACTTGTTGGATCTTCCGCAATAACATTTAAAATGTGTTGTTCTAAATGCACTTCATTTTCAATTTAAAACGCTACTGAAATCTCACGCGACTGAACACAGTGAATATAAGAAAAACGAAAAAAAGATAAAAAATAAACAGACTTATTATTTAGCGTAACTTTTCTTACACAAGTCCAGATTTGGATTATTTTTTTTTAATTCCGTCTTTTTCAACTTAGGATTAACCCAGTATTATGTTTATACAAGTTTGAGCACCTACTTTTTAAAGTACTCCGATTTGTTTTATTTATTTACTAATTGACAGTTCGTGTAGTGTCAAAATATTTGAAAATTAAATAGATATTTGGAATTGTAATGGAGGAAAATATCTTGAAGTTTCCTCATGAACTTTTTAGAAATTCAATAGTGTACTCGTTAGTTTTATAAAAGAAAATACATATGGTGTGTCAGAAATAATTTTTATTTACAACCATATATGTAATGTTGTCATTACGAACGTCATTGAAGGTTGGGAAGTGTCACATTACACACCTCTACTTCCCTTCCCCACTTCTCGCCCTCATTTCATCTATTCTAGATGAATATTTTTTATATTTAAAAAAATAACACATTTTTTTGACAAATTTTATAATACCTATTTAATGGCAAACAATAAAAAACAACAATGAACTAAAATACAACAAACTACTTATTGATATTATTCGCGAATTTAATATCCGGCTTTATCTGACATTTATTTATATTGGTGACAGTTGTTTACCCCGTAATCACAGTAACAATATATTTACTTGATTATTCTGAGAAAACTGCGGCTTGGTAATTTGTCGTTAAATGTAATATTTTAGGTATGTTCAGAACGAAACAGAGATTTATTAACTTTGATCGAAATATGATGGTTGTAAATAAAATAGTATACAAACCTCGGTAGGAAGTTTTATTCCTGTCTCGAGATCATAGCTAACCTCGACGCTTCGCGTCTCGGTGATCTAACTAATCTCACGACAGGAATGAAACTCTTCCCACCTCGGTGTGTAATATACTATATATTGTCGAGAATAAAAAGATTATTATGTATTCTATCACCAACCGTTAATAGAGCCATGCATTACCATAGCGATTTTTAAAAGTAAATAAACACTGCCATACTGTAAAAATCAAACACTTTACCTGCCGCTAATAGTTATCAACATAGCCATGACTGTATGACATTAAACATAATTCGTTTGTCACTGTCACGGCTTGAACAGTAAAAGTATGTGAATTATTTATAAAAAATAATGGAAGACATTTAGGACACGCCGCCTGAATTCATAAGAAGTCGTTACAGACGTCTTTCGAAATTCTGGCACAAAAATATAATCTTCAGTATGACATATTCATCATGCGAACCTCAAGATGAGGAAAAGCATCCTGGGCCCCAAGCCTGATTAAGGGGAACCAGTGACTGGACCCAAGCCTGACTGGGGGAGTCTGCGGCAGAGGTATTCCTGAAAGGGCGGAAAAAAATGACATATTCATAAAATGGTGTAACAACGAATTAAAAACCTAGTGATATAACGTTTTACTGGCGCAATTTTCTGATTTATCAAAAGAATTTCCTCTTTTTTTTATTGTGGTCGTATTTTCTCTGTTGAAAGCGACCCTTTCAGCAAAAATTGACGTTGACATTAGTAAATATAAAAACTTAGTTTTTTTTTTTATTATACATTTTTACGGTTGACAATAAAAGTTTGTATGCACCACGTCAGCAAAGTGTCTTCATGGAACTCGCCTGGTTGGAGACTAGTTTGATAAAGAATCACTTTGCTAACTGACTTGGTAACTCAGTAACTATGTTTCACCTTAAAACAATAATGTGATTGAATAAATAAATAACATAAATATATTTTTTTTTTTTTCAGATACTACTTGATCTGTCTTATCCATAGTGACGATAAAAACATCCGAATATTCCAAGTCATAGCTTTGTTTCTCGAAAATCGAAAAAACGAGGAAATCGCCGCAACAATACAAGAGTTTTTGCCGAAAATTCCAAGTTACAAATTTATTATTACATTGCCTCAAATAATACCTCATCTTTCTGAAATCGATACAGATTTGTTCAGTACTAAAGTCGGCGAAATCATACAAAGATGCGCTTTGGATCACCCGCATCACACGTTGCCGCTTTTATTAGCATTAGGTTTGTTGTTTTTTTTATATATATTAAAAAAATTATCAATTTTGTAAACAGATAAAATCGTGGTCATATATCTTATTGTACAAAAAGGCAAGTAATTCAAATATGTAGTAAGTTATCGGTCTTTTGTAGAAACCCATTCTTTAAAACTTCAGAGCCAAACATTTAATTTTTAGTGTTTTCTCCCATTTTTTCAAACAGGAACGCTTATGGAATCACCTTAGTGTATGTCTCTCATTTTGTCACAGGTGTTTCACCCATACTTTATTTAACATTCACAATAGTAGTTGTAGTAAATATAGGCGTTAATTAAAAAAATATATTTTTATATCTTGGTGGCAGTTTTGTGTAGGGTATCAAATAATGTTCATATGCATATCAGCACTTTAGAGGTAAGGTGTGTTAAGTCACATTTTTCAAAAAAAGGAGTTTTCTCCACTTGTGGATTTACCGTACTAAATTCTATCTAGTGGAAAACAGATTTAACTCCTTAGTTGCAACATTTCGCCAAAAGTGACGGAACACTCGGTAAGTCACAAAACAAGTATTTTAAATTTGGGGTTAATAATGTTAAGTCAAATCAAAGTCTAAATTTTAGGACAAAGTAAAAAATCTAACAAAAATCGAAATAAATTGAACAAACAATTGAATTTTGCAAAGACCTCAATATTTATTAAATTCACAGTTTCTTTACATTTGTTAAAATACTAAGTGAACTTTAAAATAAGTAGACTAAATCATTAATTTTCACTAATGTGGTAATCCTTTATAAGGAAAGAAAACTCTTAAGTCATTTAACACATAATTTTATTTTGGATGCTAGTTTCGGCCTCTATGGGTCATCATCAGGCCTAAAATTGTAAAGTTACATTAGTAGATCGCAAACACTTTTTTTTAATTTTAAATAGTTTATAAACCTACCTAATATTGTTATATGAAAAGAGGAGAGTAAGTCCTAGATCAAATGTCCAATAAGTTCTAGTCCAGAAATTCTCTGTTTATGAGGTAATTGAAAAATTCCTAAGTATAAAATCAAAGTTGAATCAGAAGCACAAGTTAAAAAGGGGGATTATCTTGAAATTATTAAAGGAGGGGGGGTAGGGTAAGGAATTAATTCAAGTTATAGAAAAGGGGGAAGGAAAGGTGGGTAGTACTAAATAGAACCGATTCCTGATATCCTCGAGGAGGAACTCTCATAAAGACTACCAGGAATCAGTTCTGTGAGCTATTAGGGTGAGAAGAATGTGGAGAAAAGTGGGTAATATAGAGGAAAAGTGAGATTGGTGTGAGTAGAGGGGGGATAAATATAACGAAAAACAAGCCAAAATTTGTGACAAGTATGATATGGTGAAAGCGGTCTAAGAGCGGTGGAAAAAAGATAAAGAAATAGTGAAAGAGAAGCTCAAGAAACCAGAAAAACAAAGGGGGAGGAGAAAGGAGAGGAAATCAAAGAGAAAGAAGAGGAAAAAGGACGAAATAGCGGAGAAATAGGAGGAAAAGGAAAAGAGTGTAGAGAGAAATAAACAAATTAGAAGAAAAAGGAGTGTCTTAGTCAATAAATTGATAGGAAAGCATCTTTAGGATATCCTAAGCGCCACATGTGGTTGGTAAAAGGTATCCTACTGGTCGGATCTTTAAAAAAGGTGATATAGAACTTTCTTGGCAAATTTTCGCCGTAAGAAAATAGTTTTCTAATAAACACTTTTCGGATTGTCCAACAAACATGAGTTGTTGTAGCATTCGTTTCAATTCGGTAGATGAGGAGTAGAAAACAAGTAAAAGTGGTGGAAGCAAGTTGGTGGCAGTGTTGCCAATGGAATAGGTTAAAATTTTTAAAATTTCGAATGAAAGGTGTGATTAAAATGGGTAAAGACAGATGGTAAAAGGTGTGGGAGGGATAGAAGAGGGAGGTAGGTAGATCTGACAAGTTGTTTAGGCGCCAATTTGCTAACTCTTTATTTCATTGTTGGTGACGTTCGTTGTGGCTGTCCCGTTTCTTTTTGTGTTTTGCTTCTTGTTTTACTATATTGTGCGAGCCATTAAGTCTCTCTCTGCCTTATTCAAACCTCCTACGATCTCCACTTTTATTCAATAAAGTCGTTAAACATTCGAAACCCCCACGGTGATGGCCAATGCTTGGTCACGCCTAGTCGTAGTGAATCATTAATTCTAGAATGTACTAGAACGATGACGTCAGCGCCTTGACAACGATTTTGGTGAATGCATGTTCTAGAAATTACTGGAGGCACTGGTCTAATAAATGATGGGTGTGCCGACGTATGTTCTAGTTCTAGTGGAGTGACGTCTAGAATTTTTGTAGCAAGTTCTGGTGAATTCGAGAACATTCAGAGCATTTGGGTATATAAATAGGCCACGTTTGCTGTTATAGACAGTTAAAGTTGAGAGATCGTTCTGGGTAGTAATATAATAATACTGTCCCTAATTCACCCCCTTACGAATGAATTTCAACCCCTGAAGCCGACTGAGGGAAAGGGACGGATATTATTATTTGCCGTGGCGCTCCGGGGCGCTATTTGACTTACAGGTGAGACGGTAACGCATGGCGATTTATAATCTGGATGTGATATCATCAGCAATTGAATTTCTGTTAATTTAATTAATTGACTACAAACTTGCCTATAAATGAATATAAGCGCGTTAGGCAGCTACGCCACCGACCCGGTAAATTAATATTTATTATAAATTAGTATATATAAGTAAATATTCATATAAATTAGCAGAGTATTAGAGACAAATAAATTAACTAGTGTGCCAGTGTAAATAAATTAATAAGCTATTATTTAAAATAAATAAATATTACAGTATCTTGAAATTATGAATGTACTAGCTGACCCGATCCCGCATCGCTTGAATTTCTCAAACCTCAATTATTAAAAGTGAATGACAGTTTTAGTTACTCGAGAGAAATTTTTTCATGCGATACCTGGTAATTTTTCTTTAATTTTTTTAATTTTTATTGATTTTTTATTAATTAATTTTTATTACTTTTTAATAATTTTTATTTATTTTCTTAGTTTTTAATAATTTTTAATAATTCTTATTAATTTTTAATAATTTTCAATAAATTTCAATAATTTTTAATAATTTTCAATAATTCTTAATAATTTTCAATAATTTTTAATAATTTTCAATAATTTTCAATAATTTCAAATTTTCATGTTTCACTACTACTATGCAAAAAATCATGCTGCTCTGTATAAAACAAAAACAAATTATCCCACGGGAACCGTACTTTTTCCGGGATAAAAAGTGCCCTATGTGTTATTCCAGACTATAACCTATCTTTGTGCCAAATTTCATCCAGATCCGTTCAGCCATTCTGACGTTATTGAGCAACAAACATCCATTTATCCAAACTTTCGCATTTATATATTAGTAAGATGCATTATAAACTATACTTTCAGCTAACGCTTACAAAGACAGAGAATTCGATGAAACCAAAACCAAAACGGCTATGAATGACGGCAGAGTTCAAACCGTCAACCATCTGTTGGAAAAGATAAAGATACAGGGCCGTGCCAACCATGTGAAAAGATTAGATCAGGTGTCGCGAGCGCTGATCGATTTGGCATATTACAAAAGCCCCGACGAAGACGACGACAAGAAAAAGAAGTTCGATATACCAAAGAAACAGAAAATAATGGCAATACATGATTTTGATGACGTTTTAGTGCCTACTTCGGAATTGGCTGTGAGCATGACCAAAGATTATTCTAAAATTGTTGGTAAGTTATATTTTTGTTTTATATTTACTTTCGTATTAATAAAAAAACCAGTGTATTTGGGGACGTATTGATAACTGAGGAATTGTTAGGTTTATTTTTTAGTTTTCCCGAAAGGTAAAAAAAAGCTAAATTAATTTGACGTTGTGTTCCAATGACACTTAAATTTTAACAAATACATTGTAAATGACAACTTTTTTTTAATTGTTTACAGCTCAAAAAATTAGTTTAAATATATGTAACCAAATTGCTGAGGCCCCTACCTCTAGGGTTTTTGATTTTCTTTAATTTCTTCCAACTGAGAACCTTATTGTTTTTTAGAATTTTTGGTTTAACTTTAAATATCAATGTTTCTAAAATGCATTTCTTCTGGAGTTTATTTTATGCCCTGCAACTCCAGATTGGAAATCTATCTGAATTTCATATTAGAATCAAAAAGGTAAATGGCCCAAATATTATATTTACATGGGCTTAAGGGGTAAAGGCACAAATATTTTTACTCAAGGGCGGGGTAACGTTAATTCGTGTAAAAGAGGCACATTTTTGTGAATTTTTTTTGACGACACAGTTAAAATCTGTTTATTTAAACCAATGGTACAATAAAGTATAACATTCACGGAATATTCTGTCAAATTTTCCTGAAGAAATATTAAAAACTACGGAAATGGCAGCAATTATTCGGAAGCGTCTCGGAAAAAAGTAGAATTGCGGATTCCCCCCTAAATCGGTGCTGGATCATCACAAATAAAAAATCAAAGTTCTTTCGTTAGATAATCGTTTTCCTCAGGAAACGCGTGGAGGGTTTTTCGAAATTTCAATTTTACACTTTTTGGGAACACTTTAAAGTGAAAACCCGATTCTTGCGAAAAAAATCGGCTAATTTGTTATTATAAAATAAAAAAAAATATTAACGAATTTGAAAAAACTCTCCAGCGTTACCTCGTAATTTATGTACAGAAATAGTGTTCAAAATTTAAAAGCATAGGTGCAGTAGTTTTGAAGTTATGAGGGGCACCGGTTTTAGAAACGTGAGTTGTGGGAAAAACGCTTTAAAGATTTGAACACTAAAAAATTTGGAATAAAACATTCATAAGCTAGTTTTATCGGCTTATCTTACACTTAATCATAGATGCCAGGTCCATAAAGGATGTTGCTATCATCCATGATGTCTAAAGCATCTTTTTGCTCCTGTCTACGACGAATCCTCATTCATGAGCGCTTGATCCACTACTGATCCCATGTCTTGCATGGAGGTTAGTAAAGCAAAAGATCCTGGCAGGCCAATGCTATACTAAATTAGATACAATACAGGTATAAACACGTTTGTACTTGAGTTGAAATTTCTATAAAGAAAGGTAGGAAGTAAGGTTAGGGATTATATAGAGAGCAAAACAGCTGCCAGGTAACAATAGCGCGATTGTGCCGGGCAAATATGAGACGCGGTTAATCAAACCGCTGCATCTTCGTTAGTTTTGCTCCGATTCATCTCAGATTTTCATACAATATTCTTGAAAGGTTCTCCATTCACAAAATCAAATATAAAAAAAAGTTAAAAATCTTTACCCCCCTTTAAAGGGAGTTAAAGGGTCCAAATGTTTTTACGTAAACATACGTAAGTGGTAATGAAACTAACATTTTTACATGGACATGTTTAAGGTGTAAATTGGCCAAATATTTTTATATAAATTGTTTAATTTGTAAACCTTAATCAAAAAGCGACATGGAATGGCTCTTAAAAAACCAGGTCTAGCAATGTGGTATAGCCTAAGTAACGTCATCGCTTCACAAACCTGAAAATTTAATTGCATAATACTTCTCATCTTCTTTCGTTCAAAATCAAATCGTTTCTCCTTTATTTTATGCTACAAGTTTACCCGTGAGGGTCTTTAGTTTCGGTAAGGTAGGAACCACCAATTTAGCGTCTCTTGGATTATTTTTAATGTTTAAATGAATACAATTGAAAATAAATAAAATGGTAATACCTATAAATAAATCTACTGGCATTTATCAGTGAAACAAACATTACGTCATCACTAATATAGCATATTTGGAGTACGTAGTTATTTTTTGAAGTATAGCTTATTTCTTGTTTTAATATAAAAATTGTAAATACAAATTTTTTTAGGCATTTCTTCATTCGTTCCGTCATATCAAATAGTCGGAGGTGTGAATAAGCCGAAGAAAATTTTGTGCAGAGGCACAGATGGTAAATTACATTCCCAACTGGTCAAAGGTCATGACGATTTGAGACAGGACGCCGTGATGGAGCAAGTTTATACTATAATGAATAATCTTTTGTCTTACAAGAAATCAACGAAACACCTACGGATTAGGACCTACAAAATTGTGCCATTGTCTATGAGGAGTGGTATTCTAAAATGGAACGATAACAGCATGCCTATTGGTGAATATTTAGTTGGGTCCAAAGATATAAAGGGGGCGCATCAGATTTACAGGCCCAGTGATAAGAGTCACACAAGTTGTCGCGAAATATTTAAGGTTAGATATTTAAAATATTTTGTAACTCTTCCTAGCTAAGTATATTCAATTCGATAAATTACTGCTAAAATGTACATTATTTTCAATTTTTTAGAAATGTGCTAGCAAAACGGCTGACTTGAAACTAAAGACCTATAAGGATATTTGTAAAAGTTTCAAACCCGTGCTTCACCACTTCTTTGAAGAATATTTCCTTCAACCTGCTGTGTGGTACGAAAGAAGAAGGGCATATATTCACAGTGTTGCCACAACTAGTATGTGCGGTTACATCCTTGGAATCGGAGATCGACATACCAGCAACATTTTAATTGACAAAATGACGGCTGAAGTTATTCATATTGATTTCGGTAAGTTTAAAAAAAATCTGATATCGGGATAAAAAGTAAAATTGATTTCATTAAAGGTTACTTATTAATTTTAATAGATATTTTTGGAAACATGGCGCAGTCGTTAATGGTTTTAAACGAAACATCATCTATTTTTATTTCTTCTAATAGCTGTTCTTTTCATTATTCCAATGATATAAGGTTTAAAAAGTCTTTGTATGTACTCTGGCTCAAAATGTTTTATTATTCAGCCAGCTGAATTGTTTATTTACTTAATATTTAATTATTCAAATAGGCATTGCATTTGAACAAGGAAGAGTTCTACCCACTCCAGAGACAGTTCCATTCCGATTGACCAGAGATATGGTAGATGGTATGGGTGTCAGTGGAGTAGAAGGAACTTTCAAGAGGTAAATAATAAAAATAACACAGTTAAAATTCCATTTAATTTTAATTGTTTATTTAGATCTTGCGAGAAAACGATGGAGGTTTTACGTCAAAATGCCCAAACAATAATAACTATCTTAGAAGTGCTACTTTACGATCCTCTGTATGCGTGGACGGTCACAGCGGCCGAAGCGAATAAGCGTCAAACAGAAAGTGACAGTAGTCTTAGAGCCGAAAATAGCGATTCATCAGATGGTAAGTTTTTCGCTGCATTTTTCTAATACTGGTACCCAGTGCCTCGTCCTTCTAGTAGGAAGGCCCGCGGCAATGATACGAGAATTCTGTTTTTTTTTATCAATAGTTGTCAATATAAGAAAAAAAATCCATTGTGATGGACAAATAAATTATGGAAGATGTAAAAAATGATACATATATCGCAATATTTATACAGGAAGTATAGTATAGTTGTTTTTGGGTATAAAAATTATAATTTCGTATTTGCATCAATATATTGTATAGGGGGCGCCACATAAGCCATATTTGAGGGGATAAATATACATTACTTATATTTAAGTTAGCGCCATTTTTATTTAAAATATATTAAAGACACGTTCATTTAACAAACAAAATCATATTTATTAAACTCAAAAGTTTTTCTATGTAATCGCATTTCTAGTTTAGAAATCAGCTCAATAATTCTCATTTAATTCATTGGGCGAAATATTAACATAATAGATGTCTTTGATATTTAGAGTTTAGAAATATTAGCGTAGTAGGCAGGCGTCAAGAATTATTTTGACAGCTAGACATTCTTATTTCAATAATGTATAACTCCTGTCATAGTTTATATTTGCTACGTTTGAAAAGTACCTCCCGGAGCGGAGTAGAGCTAGTAGATTTTTTTAGTTACGTGATCATCGAGCAAATCGAGCTTATACAGAATAAAAGAATGGCTATGGATTTGTTTGGGTTTCTCGTTTCCGGTTTTCAATAAAATAACAAACTTAAACCTTTCTTTTAAATCAAATTTGATCTCTCGTCTCGTGGTTTTTGTTGCAAGTTGCAAAGTAAAGTTAATTTTTAGCTGTGGTATTTTCGCTTTTTGCTTTCACTAGAAAATAAACAATGTTCTCATTTCTGTCTGACATTTTTTATAAGTATTTTTTTTTAATAAACAAACATGAAAAAGAATATACTGCAACACAAGAAACAACGAACGACGTCTTTACATCTCAGAGAAGTACATCTACTTTGTCAATTGTCACAGAAATTACGTTTACTCCAAAAGCTCTAAAATTTAATTCGGAGTAAATAGATATTACTCGACTTACCAGCTCTGCATTAAAAGACCACGGAGCAGATCCCATCGAGTAGACACAGATGTATTAAAAGAACGGCTTCGAGTAAAAAGAGCAAAACGAGGTAGTTTTCAAACGCAGCAATTTATTAACCAAAAGCTAAAGATGCAGAGACATAATATTTTTACAAATATGGCAATTAGAGATATGATTTTGCCCTGTGGAGAGGGCGGATAGAATGGCTTCACCCGGACAATTTACCATCGCGATGGTAGAAGCCACTAAATGGCCACTTCCTATAGATGAGGCATCTAGAGACACCTCTCGACGACGTTATTAACCTGCATGACTTACACCCCAGAGTGACAACCAGCAGGTGTTTGATGAGTCAATAACCTGTAGTATTTTAACGAGCTGAGAAGATGGCTGTCTGAGACACCCCTCAGTGTCAATCCGCAGATTATAATGATAACCTGCAGGAATTCGATGAGCTGAGAAGATGGCTGTCTCTGGACATCTCTCAGAGACAACCAGCATGTTTTGACAAGTTTGACATTCTCAAATTTTTTGTTAAAAATCAAGCTAGTGTCTACTTCAGAAATTTTGATAGTCACTTTCCGATTTTCTAAATTTTTACTCTTTTCTCAATATTCGAGAAATTTCCTACACAAAATAGTATATTATGTAACGATCATGTAATGATGGTTATCAATACATGAGCATTAACCAGGATACGAAACGAGCCAAAGGTGAGTTTGGTATGGTTTATGCGAGTGTATTAATAACCATTACATGAGAGTTGCATACACTATTTTTTCTACACCAGATAAATAATCAAGAACTATAAATATTATATTTATATTTGTATTGAACACAATAACAGTAATTACTAGTATTTCTATAACAAATTCTACAAAATTGTAATTAATGGTATTACCATAGATTTTTGGGGCAAAATATTTTGTACTGGGTTTTCTGCTTTCTCCGATATGTGTGAAGGAGTCGATGGTAAAGTAAGTCTTCTATATCGCTGATATCAAGACATTTTGATAATATAATTATCGAAGTTCAGCTATCTACGAAAATTTAATACGTACTGATTTTGACAACTAAAACAATTACAAACGTCAAATGCACAGCATGCTTGATTGAAAAATTATGGGTTTCTATTAATTAAAAATCTGTATCGTTTTGAAAAATCTGTATCATAATGGATATCATTATGAAACGGATTATGGGCATATAAGTGCATTATTATAATACGGGTGTAGAAAAAAATGTTTATTATTACCTGAATTAATAATTTTTTATGGAATTACCCATACCGCGATAACTCGTGATGTTGGTCGCTGCTCTCCTACTATTCTATACATTTACTTTCCTTTCCATTTTTTCTTCCAATTGATACAAAATGATTTTGATAACCTTATTGTACTCAATTATTTCCTCTCTTTAGAGTTTTTGAATATTTTACCACTGTTTACTTTCTGTTGAAATAATATATTGTTCTTCATTGTTAATTACCATGGTTTTGCTATTTTATTCAGCGACAGAGTTTTATTTGCTTATTTGATACAGGGTAGGGTGTATGAGCGCATACTTTTGAGACAATTAAGCTAATAAAAACCAAATTAGCAAAATTTTCTAATTACCTTGTATCTTAAAGGTTATAATAAGGCTACAAATGCGTTTCCTTAGTATTTTTCTATTTTATGAAATACCGAGAATGTTTGATCGGAAGTTTGTTGTTAAAAAAATAAATAAATCTTGGTTTTAGGACATAAGTCTTTTTACCATTTTACCAACTTGACTTGCTAGAATTATTTCTCTGTATAAATATACCAACATTATTAAGTCTATTTCAATGTCCACTATACTTTTTTTTTTAACATTTGCAGAACCAACTAATGTGTCAGCTGAACGAGCTTTGCTAAGACTTCGAGAAAAATTACAAGGTACAGAGTTAGGTTATCCAAGAAGCATTGAACATCAAGTTGGGACTTTGATACAGCAAGCTGTCGATCCTGAGAATTTGTGTAAACTGTTTGTGGGCTGGCAGCCTTATGTTTAAAAAAACCCAATGATATATTTACTTTTATTATATTTATAGTTAATTATATTCTCAAATAACTAGATTTATGCAAAAAGATATACTCCTCTTTTTCTTAAAGAGATCTTTGCATTTGTTGATTTGAGGATATGTACTGCTAGAACCCTCGAATTTTTACTGCAAATTAATTTTTTTATATACTAAGTTACTGTGATATTTAGGTTTAAGTAAGTTTTCAATGTTAGTTGTGTATTATATACATTGTAAAAACTCTCCAAAAGTTTTTATGTATTTAAGTCGCCATAATGACGTGGATTTCAAAGTAAGAATATCTATAATTGCATCACTAGTTAAGCATCTAAACGAAGCATTCACAAAATTGTTATGGAAATGTTGTTTTAGTTTGTGTTTAAGTTTTATATTCTAAGTGTTTAATAGAAATAAATATTTTTGATATTTATAAATGGTTTTTTATTATCAGGATTATATTGTTTTTTGCATTTTTCTTTGGACCAATTGGTTAAAGGTTTGTTTTTTTTGTGTACCACTGTTCTTTTCAGGAAATTTTTCCAAAATTTGAAAGTTTTGAAAAAAAAAAAAAAATTAACTACTCATGAATTTAAATTTTTATTTCTTTCACCACTTAATATTTAATGCATTTGGTATTTTTGCTATTTCATGATATTGTGTATGTAATACTCCAGAACACTTATCACTATCTTGACCACCTAACCAATTATCATATAACTGTTTTATAATTTTACTGTCTTCAGGAGAATGACATGGCAGTGAGGAATAAAGTTGTTCAACTTCAATTACCAAATCTTTAACGGTCCTGCCTTCTTTTGGTCTTACTTGCGCCCCTCCATTTAAACAACCTATAAGAAAGGGAACAATTTACACATCTTTTATATATTTTTCATCTTTTTATTACTACCTGAAGGACAAGCCATAACTTCCACATAGTGATATAGTGATTTTCCTCGTTTTAATTTTTGTACCAGGTTCTGTATATTTCTAAAGCCGTTAGCTATTGCAAATCTCAATAGAACCTTACCGTCTTTTTCTAAAATCACTTCTCTAAAATCTGGATTCCTAAAATTGAATTTCCACCATCATCAAAACAATAATAAACCACCCATTAAATCAAATAGTTATACCTTAAATTTTTGTACTCCAAACTATCACATTCTTGCCCAAATAATTCATGAGCAGCATATTTAAAAATATGGTCAGCGTATCCACCTGATCCAGATCCTATGTGTTTTACCAGAGCTGGTGAAACCTCGCTCTCTTTAGAAATCCAGGGTTGACATAATTTGCCATTGTCAAGAGAACTTAATTCTATACCATCTCTAGATAACATTTGTTCAAGCTCAACTAAAATATATCAATAATAATAAAAAATAAGTGCATTAAAAAGAAAAAAACATTTTTATGTCTCTTGACACATTTGGCTAGTTTTTGAGCTTTGTTTTTCCTTACTAAATATTTTATGACTTCTTAATTTTACTCTACCAACATCAAGGTATACAAGTGAATTTTACTTTTCTATAACCTCCATTATAGAGAAATTGTGTATATCTTGCTAATTAATCCTAATAAGTATAAAACCAGTCCAAAAATGATATTCTGCTTAGTAAGCAAAATCAAAGTTACTTGAAAATAATTATCTCTGCTGTTTTTCTTTTAATACAATCCAGTGCCTGTTGTGGTATTAACCAGGAGGAAAATGTCACTATTAATATTATTTATAAGTATATAAAATAAGGAATACAAATGTTTAGTAGTATGTTAAGATTACCTACTTGCTGTAATTACACAATCAACGTCTCTGCTTTCTGTCTCTTCAGAAAAGAAATCTTCGCGAGATGCTTCTAGCTTTTTGTCATAACAAGGCATTACAGTTACATGGTATATAGATCTATTGCCCAAGTTGCAACAAACATAATCTTTTATTAATGAACCCATTATTTGCTGAGGTGATTTTGTTGTTGCAATATAAGGTAATATATAGCTGCCATGGGTTTTTTCGGCATAGCATACCCATCCTGAAAATAATGAAAATTCCATTTGATTCTTTTCTTTTTAGATTTGATAAATTATATTATAAAGTAAAAGTATAGACATTTGTTAGTTATGAAATTCTACCTGGACAACTTGATGCAAGCATGGGCAGAACATTTTGTACTCCATCAGTTTCTGTAGCCCTGTATCTTCTAATAAATTCTCTTTGTGTTTCCAGAATTGCAAAATCATCAGCAATAGTCATATCTACTACCATGTCGGCACCCAACTGTTTGAAATATTGTGCAAGTTTCGATACACAGTCATTAGGGGACAACTGATAGCGTATTGCTAGAGATAGTATTGGTTGAATTGAAAGTGAAACTATTATTAATTTGGCTGCAGATGTACCATCCTAAAAATACAAGTAATGTTTATTTGCTTTTATATTACAGGATAAGCAATCATTCTTACTAATTTTATTCTTTTATTTTCTTCAAATACTCTCAACAACTCTTCTTGACTCTGTTGAGTAACTAGTACACTTTCTGCAGATGTTATGCAACCAGAACATGCTAGGCAATCGGCCAGAGTTATTTCAACTTTTTGCAATTTCTGCACACTGCCATCCTAGATAATATAAGTCATATATTTTTTAAATAATTTAAATTTTATTCCAAATTTACCAATACACAATGTAATTTTTTATGCCAATAACTCAAATGAAAACTTCAGCCAAGAAGTTACATCAGATTTGCCTATTAATAATATAGGTGTCCCACATCCCACAATTATACATATTTGGCACATACATTATTTTTACTTTAACTAAATTACTTAAAAGCAGTGAATAACTAATTTTTTCAGTTTCTATGTTTTTAGTTGATAAAAACAAGAAATTTCAGCTAATTAACAATGTAAAATTGTGAGGTCTATAAGTTTCATATGAAATAAACTTGCATCTGCCATAAAAATGTTCAAGTTTTTTTTAGAGACCTTTGTATTCTGTAGAAGTTACTTCTTTTTTAAATGTGAATATTATTATTGCAATTGTTGCACAAGAAGGTAGACATTCAACAGTATATGGAAGGGCAGTTTTTATTCATATGCTATTCATTGTTACTTCACTTAGCTATTAAAGGCTTGATGGCCTTTTCAAAATGAATAACATAATTTATAACCTTTCTGAATTTTGGGCCAACAAGAATAAAAACTAGTGCCAAAGAAGCGGAAAAAATAAGATTAAAAAGCAATAGGGGAAACCCTAGAAGTGTAAGGTCAAAACTATAAGCAATCTCTGAATGAGGAATCAGAAAAATAAATGGCATTTTTATCATTTACATCACATATAATATAGTTATTCTTGTTTTCGCATTAAAGAGAAAATTGTAAACCATTAATTCATAAAAAATTACCTACTTCTTCAATTTGAAAGTATCCATCTTCTTGTATCTTTATTTTAGACCCTGTGGTACTAGTAGTTTTTTTCTCTATTTTTACGGGTTTAATACATTCCTAAAAAAAATATTTATATAGGTTTTGATTTAGTTCAAAGCAAGGTCATTTGTATTGAATACATACTTGAGAAGGTGTTATAAAATCGTCTAAGTCGGTTAGCTGTAATGCACCACTGAACCGTGACATTTTTAGATAATAAAATAAACATTAATCTATACAAATTATTTTTTCTTAAATATCGTATCACTTTTAAGGCTTACAGCTTTAAATACAAATTAAAAATTATAAAAACAAACTAAATGAATAATGACAATCAAAAGTGTGGTTATATTACTCCACTTCACCTCCACTTATTTTGATTATCGTACGGTCTCGCTAATGTGGTTATCCAGTTATTACTTCTTCTTTTCCTTAACTGTTTACATCAATAAATTTGTAAAATGTAAAAAGTTGCAATCTGTCATTTTTTGACTTTGTCATTTGTATTTTTTGACGCTTGATGTTATTGAATCATGTTAGCCTTTTTATATTTTTTTTATTTTAATTTTTTTCCTAATTATACAAAAATAATGCATGTATAATAATTTGTGTGTTTTGCAACCACTATCTGAGATAACAATTTAATAACATTTTAAAATGTCATTTACTTATAATCCTTACCGATAAAATAGCTCATAGGTCAAATCAGTATATTAGAATTCATAAATTCAATTAATGTAGGTAGCTAATAAATATATCCAACGAAAAATAATCAAAATGCCATGTACAAAGTGTAGATCCGATTTCAATTTATTTAATTGGAAAATTAAATGTGGTGAGTGTGAAGACAAATACTGCACTAAATGTTTAAAAAGGAGAGAAGGGTAAGTACCTAGTACTAAGTAATCGCATAATTTTTATGTTTACATGGATCAGTATAAATTGATCATTACCATTAAACAGCATAGTGTTCCTTATATTCTTTTTAATTTCGTCCTAGGAGATTCATTTTTAAAAAATAGTTTTTCATCTTTTATAATATTTATGAATTAATTAGTAAATTCTTGTATTCCTAATTAAGTATATAATTCAAGAATTTAATGACTGAAAAAGTGTTTACCATATATACACAAAAACGACTTGAAAGACATTTTAAATGTTTTTAGTAAATTAAATTAAATTTCGTTAGAACTATGGCCTTTCCAGATCTATTGTGGATGTCCTTTAATCGTTGGCCATGTCTAGTTTGGTCTTTTGTAATAGACTTCATAGACTAAGAAGTAGCTCTCCAGTATTATTGCAAGTTGCTCTTGGTTTTTCTTCTCTAAGTGTAAGGAATCTCAGTCTTGTTAGACCTTCACAGTAGCACAATAAGTACTGCAGTTTCCTTGTCTCACTGACAAAATTGGCACTAGGTCCCTTCAGCCAGGCCATTGTTATACATATATTTGTTAATCCTACAATGCCATATTAAAAAGCCTACTAGTATTCTAGTATTTTTCCTATCTATGGCTTAGCAGATGTTTCCTTTTAAGAACTCTATGGCCTGTCTCTGTCCTGGTGAATTGGCTCACCATTCCTGAGATTTTTTAACATCCACTGCTTTGTGCATGTTCTGATAGTTGACTACCTAGCTCTGTTAGGGCTTCCAAACTGTCCCACACAAGCTTTGAATGTATATAATTCCACAGAAAAAAGCATCCAAAAGTAAATGTCTGTTATGTTTCTCCCCAAAGTTAAAGCAGTTGACAATATTTAAAAAACAAGCTCACAAAAAATTTTAAATTTCAGGATTACAAAGCGATTATGTTAACTATAGTAAATAACGTTCTGATTGTAAAACTTTATCAAAAAGGTGCTATCAACAGTTTATTGTAAATTCTGAGTATTCTTTAACATACCATAGAAACCTAAAACAGTTTTGGAATTTTGTTAAGAGTAAGCAGAACAGGAATTATTTACCACCATTGCTATTCTCAATGTCATTTGGGACCAGATTTGCTTGATCTTTTTGCAGAATAATTCCAGTCAGTATATACTGATAATAATATTGATCCTCAAAGTAAACCGCCACTTAATCACATTTCTATATCTGAGTATGTTATTCCTATAGCAACCATTTATGAAGAGATGGCTAGTATTGACATTACCAAGGGGCCAGGACCTGATGGTATCCCCCTTCTGTTCTCAGATTTTGTAGTTTTGTTCTCTCGCGGCCACTTCACATTATATTTAATAAGTCTCTTGCTTCAGGCATATTCCCAGACTTCTGGAAAGTGAGCTGTCTTACACCTATTTTTAAGTCTGGTAACAGAGCAGACATATCCAACTATAGACTCATCTGTAATCTTAGTTCCATTCCAAAGTTGTTTGAAAAGATAGTAGCTGATTACTTAAGATCTAAATTAAATTTATCAATAATAGAAGAACAATTTGGGTTTCTTAACAAAAAATCTACAGAACTGAATTTACTTGTTTTTGTTGACTATCTGTCGGACGTCTTGGATAGAGGTGGTGAGGTGCATGCCTTATAGAAAAACTTTTCCAAGGCATTTGACAGGGTCATTCGCAAACTTTTGTTAAATAAACAGGAGACTGCTGGGATCATGGGAACATTATTGCAATGGCTGGCAAGTTATTTATCTGAAAGAATCCAAACTGTTAAATTGAATAATTACAGATCTAAAAACATTCCCAACCCATTTGGGACCTTTGTTCTTTTTATTATTTATACATGATATCTCAGAATGTTTCAAGTTTGCCTAATTTTTATGTTTTGCTGATGACCTAAAGTGCTACCTAGCAGTTTTATCTCTTAAGGATTGTCTCAAACTTAGGCTTGATGAGAGGTGTGCAAATAATGCTGTGGACCTAAACATCACTATGTATTACTAGGAAGATCAACAGGATTCACTATCAATATAATATCAAGGGTACACCAGTGTCCCAAGTTGCATCCATTCGAGATCTGGGTAGTTATTATGGACTCTACACTCTCATTTGACAATCACATTGACACAATAGTACCCAGAGCTCTTGGTTTGCTTGGGTTTATGAAAAGAAACACATCAGACTTTACAATTATTAATGGTTATTGTACTGTAGTTTTGTCAGACCTCTGCTAGAATATTGCTCTTCAGTCTGGAATCCCCAGTATACTTGTCACATTCATAGATTAGAACAGGTTCAGAGAAAATTTCTTCGCTACTTAGCATTTAAATCAAATATTCCATGGATAGATGAATATTCCTATAATTCTGCGGCACTGCAAGAGACATTCTCCTTACCAACTTTGAGAATAAGAAGAGATCAGGCAGATCTGAAATTATATTTTAAGCTCATTAATTATATGGTAGATTGCCCTACATTGATTTCAAGTATGTTGTTGGCAGCCCCAACTAGAAGCACAAGATCAATAAACAATTTCCATCAGCCCTACATGAGAACTAATACTGGCCTCAATTCATTCATGCCTAGAGTTTCACGAAGCACTAATGCTTGTGCCGATAGTCTAGAATTTTTTAATTCACACTTTTCTAATTTTGTGAGGGTGTTAAAACTTACTGTGACTTAAATTCCCTAGTCCTAATATTAGTTGTTTCGATTTTGTACATGTAAATATATTTATGATTTTTGTTGTTAGTTTATTAGTTTATTAGTTTATTATTATGACATACTTATTATTTAGATTAACTCTATTTGAAGTTTTTTTTTGTTTTTATTTGTAACTTTGTACTGAAAGTGGTCAAGGCCCGTGAATAAATAAATAAAAAAAATAATAATATAACAAATATATGATTTTGAGTAATTCACTATATAATATTTTTGTGAAATAAAGCAAGTAAATTGTATTTTTGCTTCTACACAAATAATAATATGCAAGATAAATATTGTTTGTTCCAAAATACAGGTTTTTTTATATATTATTCACAGTTTACAAATTGTGATTCCCAATCACAATAAGATTGTTTTTTATAATTTCATTTTTATTTAAAAGATAAAACAAATTTATTTAAAATGATAATTCTTTTAATAATGTAAGCAAATAATACTCATTTCATAATCTAATAAGGAAATTACAGTATTTGGTGTTTCTTTGTTGATAAGCAATGTAAATATTAAGAATTAAATTACAATAAACAATCAGTATGTATAAGTAGTTTGAACTAAGTATTTAGAAATAAGCAGGTCTGTTTATTGTGTAATAAAATAAAAATACTGTCAAAATTAATCACTCCATTTATTTGTTGAAACATCTATTTACAATTTTTAAATCATCCCAATATTCATTCCGTTTATTTAAAAATGTAATGTACACCTTTTTATATCTTCTGCTGCATCTGTCATGTGCCAGGCATCATAGAAAAAGAAATTTTAAAGGAAGTTCAGTAGTATTAAAATGAATGTTTCGGACATTATATAACTGAATAAAAAGTACTGTAGAGTACTAACAGAGATTTATGGACTCAAAATAAGTTGATTTAACCAAACTTACCTATATACCAACTTGCTTCATTTGGCCGCTAGAGGTCAATAAAGTTAAATAAATGTATCTGTTTTTTAATCTTCAGAATTCAGCCATTTTAAAAGATCAAACTTGGTACGAATACTAGGTATTTTATGGTCAATTAAGAGCAGCAGGAACATTTTTCTATTGTATAAGTGCTCATTAAGGGGAAGCCAAAGGGCATTTTTAAAATTTTTGAATATGTCACTTTTTGATATTTCTGGAAATTAAAATAGGAAACTATGGAGTTTTTATTCAAAACACTTACTCGTTCAATGTCGCTATGTTGTATCATTTTCTAACAAAAATGGATTTGAACTTTTCATATCGCTATGCTTAACATCCCTACTAGGAAAGATAGTAACAATGAAATAATGAAAGTTTCGCTGTCAACACCTAAAAAGTCCTACAGACAGCATTCTGTATGCTACATATAAAAATTATTATGTATTTCATGTATTTCTTACAACCTACAATTATTTCTAGGAGGAATATTGTGGAATTGGTTCTGCCGGGCCCACTATTCGAACTTACCATACAAAAATATAAGCTAAATGTACCCATTTTCAATTCACTGGTCTAAACATACATGTAGCTACCGTGTTACAACAGTTGTGACATTTGCCCTAACGGTAGTATGTCAGTGTACCAATTGGCAGCTAAGGTTTAAAACATTTCCTTGAAACTGAACCTAGTATATAATGCCAACCCGCCAACTCTTCTAATAATTCAGAAAATGCGATTTTATGAAGAATTCAGTAGTACAATCTTAACCCCTTTTAATGAGAAAAATAGTGTTGTTGAAACTGTGAGAATGAACTGTACACAGGTGTTCATGCTACTGGAAGTTTAAATACTTTGAGTACATTGAAACTGACATTGTATTTTATTAATTTATACATGGTTGATTAGGAATGTGAATTATTTTTATTTATACCAAAAATTGCCTAATTACATATATCTTTGGTCGTAAGGTAAAAGAGTGTAATTTGATTTTGTCACTTTTAAGGAAAGCCTGATGAAATGCTTAAACTTAATTAAGCAATATATTGCATAATAATTAATATAGTGGATAATTAGTGTTGTGGATTTGACCAGTCAATTTTGTTTTGTAAGTTGACTAAAATAAATTAAAAAATACAATAAAACAAACAAATAAAAATTAATATTTTATTTTCACATTTAAAATAAATTCAAAATATATTTCAATTGGCCATGCAGTGCTAGAGTGCATAGCGACAGTATGTTGTTATTTGAAGGGTGCAAGTGCAATTTGAACGTAGAATAATGATGCATGGAGTGCACAATAACTCCTAGAATAATGACGCATGGAGTGCACAATAACCCGTGACATTTCTTGAAATGTATTGATATTTATCATGTATCATTATACAATTCAAATAAAATAGTTTTGATTATTTTAGATATTTTGTCCGAATTTAACTGGTCAATTAGGTAGCGGTCGATTGACCATCCCCAATACTATTGATAATTAATAAGGTACACGTGTTAGTTATTATTACATAACTCAATATTACCAAAAATTGACTAATGTCCTTTTATTTCTTAGCCACAGAATACAGAATGTCTAGGGTTGCCACCTGTCCTTTTTTGAAAAGGACAGTCCTTTTTTCATGCAAAATGTCCTTGCGACTTTTTAAAGTTTAAAATGTCCCTTTTTACGGCATATGTCCTGTTTTACTCTGATATCGTTGAAAGGGACGTGGTTTATATACAAGTATACAAGCTGAGAATAGAAGCTCGGTAGATAGGCGAGGACTTTTTTTGTTATACACTCGTTGACTTTTTTTTTAGAAATCTTTAGAAGAATGAGGACCTTTTGTATACCGGATCCTCTATCAGCAGCATAGTCCTTTATTCACTTTTCAAAAAGGTGGCAACCCTAAGAATGCCTCTATTAAACATCATCACAATGTTACATACTTATATATCTGACAGATAATAAAAATATATATAGTTTATATATGAAAGGAACATGACTATATGCAAAAGATTAAAATCAATGACTTCCACTCGCTTTCCTCATACACATCATGACTAATGTTTTTATCAAAATAAATTAAAATATCTAAACTTTAATTGAAAAACATCATTAAGATTATCGCATTATGACAATAACGATTTATGATTCAATAGTTACTTAATAGGTTCTCTCATTTTTGCTTTTTTCACTTTTTTTTTCTTTTTTTTTCAGAATTTACAAACATGTAATTCCCAGTATTTATATTTATTTCGAAATATAAACAATTTTATTTATAGATAAACAAAATGTTTCTGTTTTGGTGTTTTGTTAGCACAATCGAGTTAAATATATATTGTATAGGGTGTTTCTAAAAAACCATTCAAAATAGTTAAAGATAGTGTTTTAGAGTTTACTAAATAAATTTTTTAGTTTCTATGTAATTTTCTTATTAGAAAATCAGCAATTTTATAGTTAAATATGTTTGTAATTAAAGTTGTAGGAGATAACACCCAGCTAAGAATTTTTTTAAAATTAACATCAAAAATTTCAATTCCAATTATTCAGGGTAGCTAAAAGGCTGGCGACAAGATATTTTTTCTTTGAAACGAATAATTATGAAATTGTAGAGAAATGAATAGGATCGCATTCTGCATTTTTTAGAGGACACGTCAAATTTAAGTGATGTCATCGTTTAGCGTACCGCCGCCATCTTGACTTTTTTAAATAGCAATGTAGCCGAGTGATATATCACAGAAAATGCTTACTTCTGCCTTTATTTTTGAAAAGAGAAAGAAACAGCAAGCGTTTCTGTGATATATTTAGACATACATTGTTATTTAAAACAATTAAAATGGCGGCGTTACTCTAATGTTTAAAATCCCTTATCGATTAAAATTACAATTGTATTTCGTATAATTCTATATCTATAATTCCATTGAATACATTAATGGGCTTCTTTAGTATGTTCTTAAGTTCATGTCTCGTTTTGGCCTATATAAATTATTTTACATTTTGTCGGCGTATTTTTAGAAATAAATATCATTTACGAATAGTTAATTTATTAAAAAAAAAGTCGACACAAAAAATTGGATTTATGATATTTTCAGGATATTATATTGTGAAAAATGTCTTATTTTACTCAAGCGACCACCCGATAGATCGCAATTAATGGAACTAAAGTCGAAAGATTTGCAAGATTATTTAAATAAGCGTCATATTTCTACGTATGGATTAGTAGGTATGTTAAAAAAAAATTAAACATTACATGTTAAAAATGTATTTGGCCCTTTGTTTGAAAGTAATTAAATTATTGAGTATCAATGTCTATGAAATATCTTTGAATATCTACATAATTACTATTTTAAAAATTATCGATGTGTTCAGGCTTTCTGAAAATGTCACACAGTCTACTTATTAGATTGCCAGCAAGATCTTTAGATTTAGCACAGTTGGTTTTTTCTTTTTAGGTTATTCTATACAGAAAATTGATTCGAAAAAGGATTTTCATAACCAGATTTAGAATCTACAGCATTGACTAAAACCTTCAATGACTAAATTTTAAACAAATCTATTTAAATAATATCTTGATCTATCTAAAATTAAATTATATGGTTTTTAAACTGGTCCAATATATTTTAAACATAAAAACAATAAATTTACCTTTAAAACATTTTTAATTTGTAGCTTATAGGTTTTTAAATCGCTTAAACCGAATTTTTCGTTTGTTGCTTTTAACTTTAATTTAGTTATTTTTTTTTTAGAAAAACAAGAGTTGGTCGACTTGCTTTGTAATAAACAAATACCAGAAAAACCAAAACGGGGTGTAGAGAAACTTACTGCCAATTTTGCTGGTTCGCTGCCTAATTTAAGGCCGTTGAATGAAATTTGGGGTAAGTTCATCGAAAATTTAGTCGTTTTTTTTTATTGTTTCGTCCCCAATTTGGCTAAAATTATCATTACAGAATCACCTTGGTTTATGCCTCTCCGTGCATAAAGGCGTTTTACTTATATACTATTTGACGTGCATTGAAATCAGAAATAGTTGTAGTAAAAAGGACTAAAAATTGCCATCCCCCAACCCAACCTATCTTCAAAAGTAACGCTCAAAAAATATGAAAAAACTCACAAACGTTGAGGAGTCAGTTTTAAGGGGGATTTTGAAAAGTACAAAAAAAATTCCGATGCCATCGTGTGGGTATCAAATTTAATATGAAAGCTCGTTGAAGCACGGTTTTAAAATTTATAATGCTTTCGTTTGCATTAGTTTTTCTTTAACACTTTTTCGTACAAAAAGCTCTTAAAAATTGCTGACCTCAACTTATCTTTATAAATTAACGCTGAAAAACTCACGAACGTTGAAAATTAGGTTTAGAATGAATGAAAATTATAAAGATTGCATTCAGTTAGATGTTTTTTTTATACCTACACATATATTTTTTTATTTTATTAAAAATAAACTTTAAAAATGTAGAACTGCCGCCAATAGTTTGAATGACTATATTTCGAGTAAACTCCCTTTAAATAAAACATTAAAGCTGTGTAACGGCCCACCCCCGGTACCCCCTATTTGTTCGTTGTTTTACTCACTAAAATATTATTTACCTCACAGGTTATTTTACTTTAAATTCTATAGTTACTGTATTTGGCCTTTTTCCTTAAATTGTAGAAGTGATCGTCTAGTTAATTAATAATTTATATACTCACGTTGTGATAATCTTAATTAAGGTAAACCCGGATTCGATGCAAAGTTGGTGTAAATTGATAAATAAAACCAAACAAATTGATATTTAAACTCTTTTATTTTTCATACTTTAAATGTGATGCAATAATTAGCAAAGTATATTACAATTAATTTGTACTATTTACTGAGATCTCACTTGAGTCCTGTTCAAACGCAGACCATATTCATTTGCTATCAATATATATTTTATTTAGGTTGATGACCAACGGATTTAACGAACAGCGTCAATTCGCCAGTTGGTTAACTACTATGTTTATGTTATATTCTTATTTAGGTTGATGGCCAACGAAGTTAACAAACAGCGCCAACTCTCCAGTTGGTTAACTACTGTGTTGATGTTGATTTGATTCTATTCTAGATATACACAGGTTGCACCCTCTTAGGTAAATATTTCGACGAGTGTAGAGGTGGTCATCACCTCTACGGAAGTAACTAACAGCTCCAATTCGCCAGTTGATTACTTTACTATGCTGATTTCACATATATTTTGTTTCAAACCTTGTAGAATGAGTGGCTTAGCGTATAGGTGTCCCCTTTGAGCTAACGAACAGTGTAATCACCAGTTGGTTAACTTACTATTAAACTTTACCATCTTGGTTTGTACAATTTATCCAAGATAGCACATCCCTGTATATTTCTAAAATATTGATGTTTATAATTTCTATTGAATTAACTTAATGCAACCCTGTATATTTTTTTATTGATTATTATAATTTCTTTTGAAATAATTTAATACAACCCTGTATATTTCTTAAAATTGATTTTTATAATTTCTATTGAAATACTCAAAATGCACCCATCGAAAACAGATGTTATCCTAACTGTCTTTCGAGGTGTGTGACCTGAAGGCCATGTGGTTTATTGGTTACATTGATATTTTACAGAAAATGTGAAGCCCTCATCTAAACGAAACCCCGGTGGTATCTCAAAGAAAGTTACATAAATCTTTTGACTCACCATTGAAAATACAGACATTAGATTATGTTCTAATTTCATCTAGCGTTGTGACGGCGTCGATTTAGGTACGTCGCAGCGTTGAACGTCGCCCTGCGTCGAGGTGCCTAGTGTCGTGGTGGAAAGGAAGGTATTTAATACGGTACTGCATTGGGACAAAGATACGGTAGAAATATTTAGGTGGTGCGGGACGTGACGAAGGGTGTCCACGTGGATATTATGAAAGAAATATTTAGGGGCGGCAAGTGTCGAGAAGTAGAGCTATGGAACGTTGGGCGTCGGAATGAATGTAAGGTAGGAAATACTTAGATGGCGCGGAATGTGACAGCGTTCAAGATGTAGGAAGTAGGACGGCAGGACGTTGGGCGTCGAAACGTTGACACCTTCGGGGATATGAGGTATTTTAGGACAGACGTCGTTTAGGAAGAGCGTTTTAGGAAAGGTACTGACTACTGATCTTGAACTATAACTGGATACAAATAATAAATGAATGTTTGCACATCAAATAATAAAAATTGAATGAATACTAGCTCATTTGGGTCTGACTTCTTATACTAAATTTAATTGATTGTGACATTTCTGTGTGTCTTAGTTCCCAGAGAAATACGAATGTGGGTGCAAAGGGGGTGGCTGATTTATTATGTGCCTTGAGAGCTTTGTGTATCGAAATATTGTCGAAATCGGTCTTAACATCGAAACTAGAAAGATAAGCGAGTTAAGTGTTTTAATGATGATTTGTTTTATGGTCTAGGTTCCCAGACACGTGCACGAAATTTGGCTATTTTACGGACGTGGTTATAGATATTATTTATTAGGTGTCGTAAATAAGATTTAATTACCAGGGAGATTTTTCGTTAAATGAAGGATTTTGAATTTAATAATAATGCAATATTATATTTAATAAATGGATTTAATAAATTATTAAGGTACCTGGATATTCTCGTTTTGTTTACAAAATTATTTACATATATTAAAAAAGCTAAAATAATTCAACCTATTTTATTGCAACTGGACCCAAAATTTTTTGAATCATTAGTTTTATTAAATTTAACTAAATTAGATGTAATTTTATTAAATTAGATGTAATTTTATTAAATTAGATGTAATTTTATTAAATTAGATGTAATTTTATTAAATTAGATGTAATTTCACCAAATTACATGTAATACTTTTCAGTAAATTCCAAAACCTAGTGATGCTACGTTGGAAGTGGCAACAGGGCTTACACGGGCATGGATATTTACGTTGTTTATTATAAGCGGCTTACACATTTATTCATTGATAAAAATAAGTTTTATCTGCTTAAAATTCTTCTCTTTATCCCTTCTCTTACTTCTCACCTTTCATCGCCTCACCCCGTCCCTACAACTAGAGTGTTATGATTGTCGACTTAATATTGGCATCGTGAATATTATATTTTATCAATGACTGCTTATATCTCTGTTATCTCTGATTGGTATATATCTTTATAAATTGTAATAGGAGAATTATATTGTTACAACACTAATACCCCATTTAAATATTCAATTTGACAACATAATGTTTCTACACCACTGGAAGAATAGCTTTTGGCAATAAACATGCATAGATGACTAGTATGGTACGTGATATCGATAGCTTCTGCAGTCATATGTATCGCGTGATACCCATTTAATACCATTCATAATTCACCGGTATAGTTCGATGATTGTACATGAACAGGGACGAATTACCTCCTCCAATATTTTGTTCGAGTATAGTTATTGTTTTTTCCTACGTGATTCTAACCTTAGTCCAGGAAGTAGAGTTGGTATTCGTTAAAGAATATAATGTAATAATATAAAACAGTAAAGAATACCAAATACTCCAAAATAAGTCCTAAAGGAATAATTTTTATAATTTTATAAACCGCTTATAAAATGATTACCACAATTCCCGAAATTGTTGCCTTTTTTATTTGGTAAAATTCTGTTGACCAATTAAAAATAGATTTTATGTTCTGGTCTATTTTATCTCTTCATAACTTTCGTCAGTCTAAAATCCGCCTGATTAAAGATTTCTGTAATTTATTTGCACTAATTCTATTTCTAGTCAATAGAGACTGGCAGTCCTGGATTTGCCAATAGGCCGTATAGGCCGCGGCCTAAGGGCGTCAGAGGACGCTCACTCGATTTAAGAGGATAAAAGTCAAAGAAGTTCACTGGTTTTCTCATTATTTTTTATACTAATACGTTAAATCTCTATAGAAACTCATTCCTATCGAAAATGATCAATCCTAGGTACCTACTGTTATTGTACCTACTTTATCTATATTACGATGATTTGGTTCAAGAATGTGTGCATTTTAATAGTCACATTTCCTCTAGTAAAACTGCAGAGTGTGCATGAAGCCTGGATCAAACTCACTACTGTCTTTCAACGTTTTTAAGGAATCAATATCTGTCTAATGTTTACCCTAACTTTGATATAGCTCTCCGCATCCCACTTTCCACTACAAATTGTTCTTGTGAAAAGAGTTTTTCCTATTTAAAACGCGTGAAAAATTATCAAAGGTCTTCATTATTTCAAGAAAAAATGAATTCTTTGGCTCTTCTCTACATAGAAGCAAAGATAATGAATATCATAAGCTATGATGATATTATAGATGATTTTGCTATTAAAAAGTCCCATAAAAAATTGTAATTCTTGTTTCTTTTTTAGTCTCTTTCTTAATGACTAATTCATTCGTTTATTTTAGCGTATTCCTTACTATAAATGGAAAATTATTATTTTAGAAAGGTGGAAATAAAGTGGCCTACACTCATAAAAAATATAAATCCGGCACTGGAGACTGGCACCTCCTGGGAAATGTGTTTAACTCAAAGACATTACAACTAAGAGACCAAATTGTTTACATTTTTATGTGACAAATCATTATTCCCACCAGATTCTCGTTTATTGCGTCTTTGCCGATTTTATCAGTCTGTAAAAATTATTTGGAGAAATTACTTTCGAAAAATAAAATTTGATGTATCCTATAACTATAATTTTATATTATATAAATAAAAATATGTTTTTAATCAAATTATTCTTCGAAGTTTTAATATAGGCTAAATTTTTTATTAAAAAATCAATATTAATCTAAACAAAATATTAGGGTTGCAAAGAACTCCGTAAATACGGCAACGCTGAATATCTTATTTTACGAATTTACAATTTTTATGAATGAAATGTAGT